AGGAGCGGCAGCGGCAGCTCGCTGGGCAGGCCCTGGGCCGCTGGCCCCCTCCGGAGTGCTGCCCTCCAGAGCTGGGCCGGCGACTGGCTGAACTGGAGCGGAGGCTGGATGTGGTGGCTGGCTCGGTGACAGTGCTGAGTGGGCGGCGAGGTGCCAACCTGGGAGTAGCAGCTGGGCAGGGGGGCCAGCCCCCAGGCTATACCAGCTTAGCGTCCCGCCTCGCTCGCCTGGAGGACCGATTCAACTCCACCCTGGGCCCCTTGGAGGAGGGCTGGCGGGGGCTTCCCGGGGGCCTGGGCCACTGGCTGCCTGCTGCCCGGGGCCAACAAGAGAAGCTGGAGGGGCTGCTGGCCAATGTGAGCGGGGAGCTGGGGGGGCGGCTGGCTCTGCTGGAGGAGCAGGTGGCAGGGGCTGTGCAGGCATGTGGGCAGCTCTGCTCTGGGGCCCCGGGCGAGCAGGGCTCCGAGGTCAGCGAGATCCTCAGTGCCTTGGAGCGCAGGGTGCTGGACAGCGAGGGGCAACTGCAGCTGGTGGGCTCAGGCCTGCACAAGCTGGGAGCAGCTGGGGAGTCCCAGCAGGCCACGCTGGAGGGACTGCAAGGGGTCGCAGGCCAGCTCCAGGGTCGTGTCGATGCGCTGGATGAGACGGCTGCAGAGTTCACACTGCAGCTGAATCTCACAGCAGCGCGGCTGGGCCAGCTGGAGGGGCTGCTGCAGGCCCGTGGGGATGAGGGCTGTGGCGCCTGCGGTGGTGTCCAGGAGGAGCTGGGCCGTCTTCGGGATGGTGTGGAGCGCTGCTCCTGCCCCCTGTTACCCGCGCGGGGCCCTGGGGCCGGCCCGGGTGTTGGGGGACCGAGCCGTGGGCCTCTGGATGGCTTCAGTGTGTTCGGGGGCAGCTCAGGCTCAGCCCTCCAGGCCCTGCAGGGAGAGCTCTCCGAGGTTATTCTCACCTTCAGCTCCCTCAATGACTCATTGCATGAGCTCCAGACCACAGTGGAGGGCCAGGGTGCTGATCTGGCTGACCTGGGAGCCACCAAGGACCGTATCATCTCTGAGATTAACAGGCTGCAGCAGGAGGCCACAGAGCGTGCTACAGAGAGTGAGGAGCGCTTCCGAGGCCTGGAAGAGGGACAGGCACAGGCCGGCCAGTGCCCCAGCCTAGAGGGGCGACTGGGCCGCCTGGAGGGAGTCTGTGAGCGGCTGGACGCGGTGGCCGGGGGACTGCAGGGCCTGCGCGAAGGCCTCTCCAGACACGTGGCTGGGCTCTGGGCTGGGCTACGGGAAACCAACAGCACCAGCCAGACACAGGCAGCCCTGCTGGAGAAGCTGCTAGGGGGGCAGGCCGGCCTAGGCAGGAGGCTCAGCGCCCTTAACAGCTCCCTGCTGCTCCTGGAGGACCGGCTTCACCAGCTCAGTCTGAAGGACCTCACTGGTGAGGGGGCAAGAGGAGGCACGGGGTGGGGGCACTCCTTTCAAGTCCTTTCTTTCTCCTCCCCTGACCCTGCGACAGCCCAGCCTTAACCTCGTCCACTTTCTCCTTGCCCTGCCCAGCATGAATTGCAGACCCACCTCTGTCCCAGGGCTTGGTTTGTCCACAAGAGATGATCCAAGGTCCCAGCTCCCCGCCCTCCCCTGACGGCTCAGACGGCCTGTGGGTGGAGGAGGGGTGCTGCTCTGCCAGCTAGGTACCCAGCATGGGCAGCGAGGGGCCCCATCACCCTGTCCCTGGATCCACCACCTTCCCTGTCCTTTGGAAACTCCTTCTTACGGCTCTCCTTCAACTTAGTTTTGTCACTGTAGGTCCTGCAGGTGAGGCTGGGCCACCAGGGCCTCCCGGGGTACAGGGACCCCCAGGCCCGGCCGGACCTCCGGGACCTCCAGGCAAGGATGGACAAAAGGGGCCCATCGGACCACCAGGTATGTGGGCTGAGATCCTTGCTGCAGCCAGGGCTACTCCCAGCCCCAACCCCAGCTGCCCCGGGCTTGACATTCTACTCTGAACTGGACAGAGAAGGGGGGAAAGTGGCAAGGAACTGGGGCTCCTACATGGCTGACAGTGACTAGGAAAGTGACTAGGAGCTAGGATAGTCACTGTGTTGGCCAGTTGGCTGTGGTGGCCTCACTGCTGTGTTGAAGACGATGGCCTAGCCTATAAGGTTGAACAGAATGGACCCTATCTCTTCCTCCTTTTCTTTTTTTTTTTTTTTTTT